TCTTTTCCAGTCTGGTCCTATATCAGCTAACATTGCCCGTCGAGGAAGGCGATGACTAGGCATACGTAACACATGTCCTAACCATCTCAGTCGATGTAATTTCACAGTCTCGTCTATTGATTTCCCCTCCTTACCTAGCACTCGACGCCTAACCTCAATACTGCTCACCTTATCATACCACTTCACGCGGGAGGTAGAACACAGACACCTATGATCAAAGACAGCTAATCTCTTCACGTCTTCCGCTCTCAATGGCCAGGTCTCACAGCCATAAAGGAGGATGGAGCGGACTGATGAGCCATTTGGTCGATAGTCGGATATCATGTCTATGCCAGAGACGGCGTAAACTGGCATATGCGAAACTAGCCCTCTGTATTCATACTGAGATTTCGTGGAGATCAACCCATTAGGGCTGATGGTACTTCCCAATTATAGTGCGACCACCAACTAATGTCATCTGCGGGAACTCCATCCTCATGGGCCATTGAATCGGGTTCCAGTGTCTGAATGGTATACAAGCTTGCCTTGTAACTTGTAGGTCCTGCTTTCAGAACCCAGTGGGTGCGTACTGCCGATGACTGTCAAAGTGGGATGAAACAGCTGTCCGATACTCCCTCGTTTTCAATGGTTCTCTAACTGATATCAACCCGTGGTCTAACCTAAAACAAACAGAATCCCTACCAACTAGCCCTTGAAAAAAATGATTAAGCAATTCACACTTAAAAGCAGGAAAAGTTAAAAGAGGTGAAACATGTTGACAAAAATCAATTAGTATACCCAGATTGTTGAGATTTTTGAAAATAACAGCAAGACAACTTCGTCATTATTAGCATCAGTTGTGAGAAATGGTAGGCAGGTTACATATATATATTCAAAGCTTGGAGCTATTAAAACGATTTCAATCTAGCCACGTATGATAATCTCAATCAGTGAACTTAACAGTTAATGAAATAATTTTATGCAGTTATCGTAACATAATAAATGTTACTATTATATTAATTTTAGATGTAATCTCGACTATACGGACAGACACAATTAACTACTTATTACAGATTTATCAGAAAATACTTTTTGTTCAAATAACAGTTAGTAGTTTAGCTGCTTTAATTCACCTTAGGTTAACAGAATGATAATCATTTCAATTACACTAATACTAAGGTAATTTTTAAAAGTAATTAAGTCATCTATCCGTGTCTGAGCGAGGAGTCAGAAATGCGCTGGACGATGGATGAGAAGACTCTAGAAGATCTGGATTTCGCATGTAGATGATATATGTCCGATGCCACAGGCGAAAACCGACAAACTGACTGAAGAGGCAGACCGAAAAGATAGGACTCCAGGTGAACAAAGAGAAGACGGAGGTGGTGAAGATAACCAGCGGACCGCTACAAGCACCAGTCACCATCAACGGGAGAAACTAAACATAGGTTACTTCGTTCAATTATCTAGGAAGCATCGTTTCAACTACAGGTGGAACGGATGAAGATGTCATAGCCAGGCAGAATCGGAATGTCAAGATACACCTTCATCAACCTGAAACCAAATTGGAAATCTCCTGCACTCAGCATAAACAATATGATTCGGATTTTCAACATGAATGTGAAGTCGGTCCTTCTATATGGGTCAGAAACTTGCACTGCGTGTCACGAAAAGTATTTCCAACAGGTTGAAGACTTTCATCAACAGTTGCCTTCACTGGCTCCATACTGAAGATAAAATGGCCAGAAACAAACTGTGGAAACGAAACAGCCATGAGCTGATCTCTCAAAACATTTTCAGGAGAAAATGGAGATAGTGGAGGTCGTTGGGTGAAATCACGCACCAGGCAATGCCTCAAGTAGAACCGGAATGATTAGTTACGAGCGTGTCGTCGGTACAACGGTGACATGAAAAAGATCATGTGAGGAGGAGATGAGAGATTATGAACAGTCATACGGACAGCTAAAGAGGAAGACAGAAGATAGAACAAAGTGGAGGTGTGTTGTTGAAGCCTTATGTTCCACTCGGAACCCAAGGGAACAATAATGTAATATAATAATCCCTGCCTAATGCACTCCTAATCTTCACCTAGCTTATTAGCTGGCAGTAAGTTCCGAAAAGAAGGGAGGTTGGACGTGAGGCTAGTAAACCTACCCTGTAAAAACAACCATCACCACCGCCGCAAATTCAAAGCCTGAACAACTCTGTTCCAATTGCAATGTAAAGGAAGTGAGAAAAGACTAGGTACAAAGTACAGATTTCAAAGAAGATAGTTAGAATATACATGGCAACTCTGAGAAGTGGTCGCTAAATGACAGGTAGTGAGGTTCTAATCATTTTGCTTCAAATCCAGTTATCAAGCGTATTCACTAAAAACAGTCCACACAACACTGTTAAATACTATAGTGAAAATAAACACCAGCAATTTTGATCAAGAGTTTTCTGCCCATTAATTCCCTGCGTTAATACCTGCACGTGGTTCGGGACTCGATTCCGGCAGGTGCGCACCTTTACTTCCATAAGCCGGTTGTAAATCGGAAAGAAGGAAGGTTGGACGTGAGGCTAGCAACCTCACCTGGTAATGAGGACATCACTGCTACTGAAACTTCAAAGCTCAATCTTGAACCCTTATATTCCACCGGGAACTCAAGGGAATGATATGACATACATGATACATTACGATATTATTAATTACTGCCATACTTCAATCAGAATTTCTTAAATATTTAGGGGGTAAGGAGACACTTGTACTGAAACTAGCTTATAAATAACCTCAGGATCTTGGAAGTTTGACCTCAAAAATTAGAGAAATCGCTGCTTCATATTAGAATCACTATACTTTCTAGACTGAAATAAGTAAATGATGTATAAATTCATTAGAAGAGAATTTTTGTAGACGGAAGAACGCACTGAACTGAATTTTCATGGTAGAACTTTGCACAAAAATGCAACAGTTCATTCCATCAAAATTCATAAAGCCATACATAAGAGTAGAAAAAGGAGTTCAAAGAAACGGAAATATACGGGAGGAAGAATAATGGGGAAATAATGAATCTGGGAGATAATAAATATTGAATGTATCAGCACCATTAGGAACAATTGTGAATCATTTCCAGGTATTTGGTTCTTGGCTTCTCTAGGACCCCAGTCAAGTAGTTCATATGCCTCTACATGACTGAAACCAATAGCAGAAGACTCCTTCCATCAGTGTCTTCATCTGTCCATCCTTAACCCCTTTACATCCCTGGTGAGGAAGACGATTGCTCAGAATGCATATAACATGTTGTAGGCATTTTAATTGATGCGGCTTCATAACCTCATCTATTGATCTTTTATCCTTACCTAACACTTAACGCCCAACGTCGATTTTATTGACCGTACAATGTCGCCTAATACTTGAAACTGAACTCAAACATTTGCGGTAAGAGATAGCTGGCTTCTCCATATCTTACACTTTCTATGGCCACATTTGGTAATCTTAAAGACAGACGGAGAGAGCTGCATACATGTCCTTTAGTCGATAGCTGAACATCACGTCTGTGCCAGAAATGACACAAGTTGTGAAATGCCAAACGAGCTTTTTTGTACCCGAGCTGAGATTTCGTCGGCAATCAGTCTATGAGAGCTGGTGCAGTTTCCTAAACAAGTAAAGTGGTCAAAACGCTCAGTCATTCCACTCCCTGCAGATCACTTCTGAAGTATAATCCTACATTTTATAGGGACGAGTCGCATGCCAAACATAAGATTTTCGCCATCGTATTCACCTGGAAGGATTAAAAAAACTGTCAACACTTTGTGAGTCAACAAGATTAGTCTATGCTAACGAATCAATCCATGAATCGTTAAGGTCGATCAGGGTCACCATCCAATTATTACATTTATAGTGAACCTAAATAAAACTGGCGACAACAGGCAACCCTGCAAGGACAATAATGGTTGTCATCACTTCGGATGACAACTCTCATAAGCAGTTACTCCACTGCATGAGTCTCAGTGCAGTGCCTTGATTAGTGCCATATACTTTCAAGGTATTCCCTTTACATTTATGCACTCTCACAACACCTCTTAATCATCGAAGGGAAATGTCATTTTCGGGTGAAGAGATATGGTAAGTATTGAGAGCAGAAGACATGAAAAGATTAGCTGTCTTTGATCATAGGTGTCTGCGTTCTACCTCCTGTGTGAAGTCGTATAATAAGGTGAGCAACATTAAGGTTAGGCGTTGAGTGCTAGGTAAGGAGGGGAAATCAATAGACGAGACTGTGAAATTACATCGACTGAGATGGTTAGGACATGTGTTACGTATGCCTAGTCATCGCCTTCCTCGACGGGCAATGTTAGCTGATATAGGACCAGACTGGAAAAGAGCTAGCGGCGGTCAAACGAAAACATGGCACCAGTCGATGAAATCCACAACAGTTAGTCTAAGCCACGTAGGAAGGTGTAGACTTCCTGGTTGGGGTCCTCGGGACGGTAAAATCCAATGGTTGGAAACAATTGGTGACATGGCTCAAAATCGTTCTCAGTGGCGCAGATGCATCCACTCCTTGTGACTTATGATTTCCAATGAAACTGTTTTGTTCTTCGTTATTACTACTCCTTTGTCTCACACCTCTGTTTACTGTCTCTAATATGCATTTCTCCTACTTTCTTCTCTTGCTTTGTGTGCTACATGGAGTGTGGCGACTTGAACTGCCACGCATATGTGCAACCGATATGGTAAGTATTCTTGAATTCCAGAAACTTTCGAAGGGTGAAGATATTATCAATACACCATAGTCAGGATTAGATGCCTCTTCTCTAACTATTTGACCAAAATATCAATTTGTGTCACCATTACAACAGCCCTGATGACTGCCCACATAAATATATGATCCTAATGAAATAAATCTTTCTTTACATTGGAAAGGTTAACTAGATGAAACTATGGCAGCCAACAAACCTGGGAACTCAGTGCCAGAAAATTAGTTTCACATATAAAACTTGCAAAATGCTTAAACATTCTGATCTAATTAACTTACCAGTTAAATTTTTAGAACGTATCATATCTAACATTTCATTAAGGTATATACTAATTCGATTATCGAATGATCCAATTTCATCAAGTAGAACTAGAAATGTATACACTGAATAAAGTGTTGACATCCACATATACGGTCTAACAATTAAATCCCAAAATAAATTCGAAATTATTTTGTATGTGTGATTTCGATGAAATCTGAGCTTATAAGGAAATATAGCTAGGATGTATGCATTTAACCAATAAGTTAAGCAGGCAATACAATCTAATATTTCTATATATGACTTCTTTTGAATTGTTTTTTGTATAGATTCAGCTATGAGAAATTTTTCATTATTAGATAGTGCAAAGCTATGTCCTGGTAGCTCTAAATTCACTGAAATTATAGCATTTATTAAAACAGAACATGTAGACAAAATGCCAAACATACAGGCATGTTGATGCCACATGCTGTCTAATTATTGATTGATAAAGATTTGAAATAGAATATTACTATTATTATAAGCGGTTAGATAAATATTATTAGACCGACTGATTACTCGATAAGTATTAACCATTCACCTGACAGATTAGTGTTTAAAGCGAAGTTAAGACGTTGTCAGTGGAAAGATTTTGTAGCCTAATAAGCATAGCTGTAAAACTCTAACCCGGAATGCAACCGTAGTAATATTGGATAGCTTATGAGGTCAAGAATGTGTAGATTTTGGGAAGGAACAAAACTGAGCTTCGTTCTTAATCTACCCTTCAGTCTGTCATTGAAATACTTTCACTAATAATATATAAACAGATAATAGCCTTCTAGGAGTTTGTATATGAATGGCTTGACTGGAAAGTTTGCTAGTAGAAGACGGCATGAGATCTTGAAGAAGTCGTGAAAGTTGGTAGACTGCAGTTTATGTGACAATGTTCTCCTCAGTGGATAGATCAGACAGATAAATACAATTACATCACTGGATATGGCAATAAATATGAAATTATTTCTGATTGGGCGCTAATCATAACTAGTGTACTGTGTGTGTATAGTCCTATCTTTGATGCAAACTGAATCCTATCAGTCAAGTTTACAACGCGTCATCACGGTGCACTGTGAGTTATTGGTATTAGATGGTTGGAAGCAATCGGCAGGAAGCCTAGTCTCAGAAGGGACATGAGTTCCTTCGAGGTTGCATATACGCCTTGCTGATGAGCGCACACTAGCACGAAACCTAGGTCCAAGGCTTCCTGCCGATTGCTTTCAACCATCTAATGAAGAAATTATATTAATATTACAGTTGTTCACATTATTTATTATTACTATTATTCGTCCATTAGATTCAGAGTGAAGCATAAGGCTTCAGCGGGACATCTTCATTACACTCGGTTCTCTCCAGTCTTCTACATCCGGATATACAACTGCTTACAAGCTTTCACTTCCTCCTCACATGATTTCCTTCACGTCACCCTCTGACGCCCAAATTATCACTCCTCACTTGGGTCCTACCCGATGGTCACTCAGCTGTCTCCTCAGCGTATATCTAATCCTTTTCCATTTTCTTCTGGATATATGTTAAGAAACTAGGTTGTTGGTTGACTCACTGCCAGAGTTTCTTGTTGCTTATCCTTTCCGTCTGGCCATCTGAAAGTCATTGTTGAGCCAGAAAAGGTAGGAAAATTCCTTTCATGATGCAACAAGTAAGTGCTCAGAAGAATGTATTTAAGCTACAACACTAAAAAATACGAGTAATAGCTTCATAATCTGATCGAAAATAAACTTAGAAAGTTCAAAATACACTCTAACTTCTATATTTTGGATGCATCTACTCTGTCAGTTACACATAAACTAATACGTCTAGTAGGGGTTAACGTAAGTAGGATATCAATATACCAAGCACAATTACTGACAAAAAGTACCATTACTTAATATTTCAAGTTATCTTTAATTAAGGAAGATAAATCAGTCACTTACGAGACTATTCTAAATCATCAAATTGTTTAATTTGTCGTTACCTAACTGTGTGTTACGAACACTGTGCATATTTGTTGTTGGAATCATACTTGGTTGAGTTTCAGTGCTGTCTACCACTTCAAGAGCTAGTGAATGTATTGGTTCTCAACCTCCTACGAATCTGAAAGGTGGATTTCTGGAGAATGGAATCATTCTGGTTTAGTCTAGGGCAAATATATCACAACAAGCACTGAATTTTTTTTGAAGCATTGTAACCAACCTCGCAGCATAAGACTGAACATTAAGTTCAAGTGAATCAGTGCTACGTTTTGCTGTGGCAATATTTAGCCGTTTCGTAAGCTGTTACCTATTCAGAGAAAATAAGAGGTTCAGTGAAGGTATCTTCTTGACACTTCGATCATCAATCGCTGTATAATTATAATTTTGATCTCTTCTTGTTCTAAAATAATAGCAAAGATAAAATGTTATTTGATGTAATTTGGATATACAGATTTCACGATATCACTAAACAAACTATTTGTCTTCCAGGTGGAAATTAGAAGCTGTTTTAGTGTTAAACTAAAACATTTATCGGAACTATCATAAATTATTTGTTAAACTGTATAAGTGATCATTAAATATTGCCAAAATAAAAGTGTTAGGGTGACTGAAACCACTTATTCAAGCACTAGTTCTCTCTTCTTATAAACGAAATATTTCCATATTGAGTCATTAAGAAAAAGACGTGAACAAAGAAGAAAATTTTCTTTTCATCCGTCCTGATAAGGGCAATGGGATTGTGGTAATGAATAGATCCAACTATAATGGGAAATTAACAAGCATACTATCAGACACCACCAAGTTCTTCAAATCATCCAACCAGGAATACACAACGGAAAGAACAGAAAACCTCCTTACAAAATTGCTGAAGAGAATGAAAGAAGATTCAGTCATAACATAGGAGGTATATGAGCAAATAAAACCATGCAGTTCAATTATTCCAAGACTATATGGATTGCCTAAAGTGCAGTGGGGGAATTTTCCACATCGACCTATCATAGACACGGTCAGCTCACCATATCATCAGATAGCTAAGTGGCTAGCTGATATCCTTGAACCAGTAAGAAGACATATGACAAAATACAGCCCTAGCCATACATTTGACTTCATCGACTCAGTGAAAAATATCACCGTGTTTGAAAGACAAATGCTTTCACTAGATGTCACCTCTCTATTCACAAACATCCCCCTGACCGAAACAATATGCTTCATTTGTGACTACATCGAAACCAACAACCTAGAAGTTCTTCTTCCCATCAACTAACTGAAGGAAATACTTCTCAGATGTATGTTTAATATGCAATTCAAATGCAGTGAACAATTTTATGTACAGAAAGATGGTGTAGCTATGGGGTCTCCTCTTGGTCCACTCCTAGCTGACTGCTTCATGGCGAGTCTCGAAAACAACATCCTCGATCCTTTGATAAGTCAACTGCACTTATACAGGAGATACGTAGATGACACATTCATTTGTGATGAAAAAGTCGATTTAGAGTATCTTCCCAAAACCTTCAACGCAGTACACCCATCAATAAAATTCACCTTAGAATATGACATGGCATTTACATTCCTCGATGTACTACTTACCAGAAGACAAGAGTGTACGATCCAAAGATCGATATATAGCAAGACAACATTGACAGGACGGTTCGTCCCACTGATCCGAAAGCAAAACCTGGTATGTACATTAAGTTCAAGGATTGGAAAAATCTGTTCGGAAGACATGATAGAGAAAGAATTAAATTTATTACGTGAAACCCTACTAGAGAACGGGTATCCACCAAGATTCATATACAAAAACATGAAATAGAAGCCTCCGTCGCCAAAAATCACAACTCTTCCTAAGAAAACTCTCTTCGTGAACCTGGAATTCAAAGGTGACATCGCAGCGGAAATTCTTAGAAACCGCCTTTCTAAATGTCTGAAGAAGACATTTCAAGCAGCCACCTTACGTATCACATTCTCCAGCAGACAGCTGATCCTGTCTAACATTAAAGATAAGATACCGCTTTTGGCCATCTCAATGTGTATTTATCAATTTACTTGCTCTTGTGGAGCGAAGTACGCAACGTCAAGTCCACAAACGTATTCTGGAACATTGTCCAGGTTGGTTAGTAGCCAGAGGGGTAAAGAAGAATAGTAGCAGGTCCATCCTCGAACACTTTGTCATCTCTGGAAATCGAGCACCCCGTCATGAGTGCTTCACATTGCCACAAAGAGTCCTTCAATATCGTACAAAGGGACTTCGCATACGCCATCTGTACACAGCTGAATCATTAGCTATTTGGAATCTGAAACCGGACCTCTGCATTCGAAAGCGCTACATGCATTCACTCACCCTACCTTGGCCAGAGTAACGTTCTTACTATAATTTTGCTTCTTTTTATTATGTAAATTTACTATTATTATTGTTATTATCATTATTATTCCCATCATCCATAATTTTTTATCCCTGTATTACTGTTTATTAATAACATTGCGTTTTCATACTGACTTTACATAAAAACACTTTATCGTCTTTCCACTAGTTCCTGTTCATTCTACACAATCTTACTGATTAGTCATCATCTCACACTTATTACGTCATGCCAACTTCTGCCTCTCTTCAACTTCAAATTAGTCATCCCGTCTAGGTTACACATTACATTACGTGATACATTTTTCGGCGACAAATTTTACCAATACCTGATTGGTCCTATGATTTCCTTGTTAAATATAATTACGAATGTACAGCTTATGAAAATGAATTGTTGAAAAGAAAATTTTCTTCGCTGTTTACGTCTTTTTTGTTTTCTCATGTTTGCGGTGATTAATCCTCTGGAATGCCTATTGTCGTGTTTCTCCAATTCACTTGAAATAACTGATCTTTTTGCACTGGATTCGATTGTGTAAACAAGCCATACCGTTGAACGCATAGATTTCCGCCACATGATTATGTAACACCTGTGTTTAATATATGTTGGCTAGTCATTACAATCAGCATTCTGCATCTTATCGTATTGACCAATAGACACATTAGATCATCAAGTTAGTCATCTTCAAAAATGGACAAAATTTAATGTAAGTGAGAAATGGACCAAAGGCTGAATTAAAACAAAAGCCCAACAATAATGATAAGGTAAGTGATAACGAAATTATAAGCAATCGATACAGGTGGAGATAAAGTAAAGGATAACTAACATGGACAATTCAGTAATTAAATAAGGTCAAAACCTTATAAGACTGAAAGTCATGTTATACTAAAGATGAAGTGGATAGATACTCGGAGTTGAAATAAATATCATAAAAGTAAAAAAGAAATGAAGAATAAATAAGAATAGGACGTCTTAATTAGTTGATTTTTAAACTTACTTGAGCCAAGGGAGAGACAAATGTTAGACAAATTTCTTTTGCATACAGAGACTGCGACTGTTCTCTCAAATTCCAATAATTTTGATTATTTTACGAGTTGATCATGGACTGATA